GTATTTTTCTTGAAATACTATCCAAATGTGTTAGTATTCTATATAAAAAGTGCTGTGGAGTAGTTTTACTAACCAAGCTTGAGAACATTTTTTACAATTGTTCTTTTTTGCAAATGTTTCGGACTTTGTACTTTGCCCTCGCGTGACCTTTTTTCCCCATTTTTTACAAACGTACAATGCCATATAATAAAAAACTTACTGACCTCAACCGTTCGGGCAGTACGGGAAAATATCCAACCTCGGTCTTGCTGTATTGACCTCGCTATCACTCGGTCAATACAGCAAGACCTCGGTTGGATATTTTCCCTTACTGCCCTCACTCTCGGTCAGTAAGTTATTATTATTTTTTTCTTGCGGTCCAAAGTCATATTTTACGCTTTTCTGCAATCTGACCGCGCGAGATTTTTATTTTTCAAAATTTAAAGACGAGTTTAAAGGCTCCTTTTTAAAACATTGAATTATCTGCAGATGATGAAGAACGCAGTGAAAGCGAATTTTACTATCTCACAACAAAAGATATTACTCTTCCCGATAGCATTGATAGAAACAACGTTTTATTTGGCAGATTCATTCGCGTGCGGGAGGGGTGATTGGGGAAATCCAGAGGAGGAATTAAAAAAAATAAAAATATTATTTACCGTTATGAGAAATATTTCTCTATACGGACCTCCAATCCGGTAAATAACATATATATATATATTATGCTAAAGCAAATTGTATTTCCTGCTATAATATACCTTTTTGTAGGGATAATAAATTATTTTGACTTGAAAAATGTCTTTATTGATTTCTAAAGTTAGTTAAGGACTTCTCTTTACTCCAATATTTAGGAGTTATTTTTTCTCCAAAGGAGTCGCATTGACTCCAAAAGTGGAGTAAATAAAAAAGGTACAGAACGACTCCTTTTTTGGAGTAAATTTTACTCCTTTTTTTATTCCATTTTTGTAGTAATTTTAACTCCTTAAGGTGGCTCCCTACAGTTTTAGGTCTGTGTCGCGGAAATTTTGTCCACGCGCGAGATTAGTAGTGCTACACGCAACACGCGTGGTCGACGTTGCACGCGTGGCGGGTTTTTTTAAACTTGCGTCGTGATATATACACGCGCGAGCCTTCGTGGGGTTGTCGGTAGGTCGCGCGAGGAAATTGAAATCCTGATTTTTGTGACGTCACATACATAAAAATAAATGTATTTTTCTCGTGTTTACTTCGGTAAAATTTTTTAAAACTTCACACAATTTCCTGTAATCTTGAAGTGCGTAAAATGTGCAAGTTTTAAGAAAATAGTACGAGCCGATTTTTTTTATTCCAAAAACAGTGCTTTTTGAGGATTAATAAAAAAATTCTCGTACGATTTTTTTTAAATGCTATCATTTGAAAGAATTATAGATAAGATTACTGTGTGCAAAAAATTAAAGTGTTTTACCGAAGAAATTTTCAAAAAATTATCAAAGAATCTGCAAATTGGCCCTTTTTAAAATCGCTTTGTTACCATGGCAACGTGGATTTTTAACGACATTTTTTTATTTTTCGTAATTCGCGATATTGTAGCAGTTATGTGGCTGAGTTTCGTGATCATACTTTGCAAGATGATAAAATAACGTTTTTTTGAATACAATTGTGTGATGTACAATCAAAACTGTAGGGAGCTACCTTTCTTACACAATGCAAAGTGGTGTTTTGAGTGAAATTTGCCATTTTTCAAAAATGGAAAAAATACAAACTTTAAACCCTACTTAATCATATTTGTGTCATTTTATTGCTCAAAAATACCTAAAAAGCGTGAAAATTTAGCAAATTCCATAAATTAACCCTTAGCAACGCCCATAGCAACCACATGTTTACCTGTTTAAAAGCGTTGAAAAATTTGAATAATTTATATTTAGATCAGTTTTTACCCCTCCCTTTCAAGTATACTGCATTGAAGTATTCGCATGTTAACTTTGCTACCGCTGGCCAGGATTTTCATGATTTTTCAAATCAAAATTCGAAGCCATATTTGTGTCGAAGCAGTGAAATTTTTTAGTCGCTTTTGGTCACTGTGTTTGTGTTTTTTCGCCGAATTTACTTCTTTTTGTGGACTAATTGTCTTTGGAAAATGGTAAGAGAGGGATCGAGGAAGAGAAAGAGAAAATTTCATGGGAATCGGCACGTAAATGATGCAAAGAAACCTTGTATTGACAGTATTGAGCAACCATGTGTTTCTGGTGAGTCGGTTGCTAATGTCTCTGCTTCAGCGAGAAAAATAGGTCAGTCTTGTAGTTTTGATGCTACTAGTAGCAGTTCCAAAGATGAACAATCTAAAATAACTGGTTATCGTTTCGTCGATGTGGAAATACTTAGTGAACTTTTCCAGCAAATGCCATGCAAGTTATGTGGAGAATCCAGTCTCAGTCTTGAAGATGATCCTCGGGAAAGAAAAGGTTGTGCTTCTCATCTTCGGCTGCGTTGTGATAAATGTGGTTGGGTATATACCTTTTTTACATCAAAGAAAGTCAAACATTTTTTTGATGTAAACAGAAGACTTGTTTATGCAATGAGAAGCATTGGACAAGGAGAAGCTTCTGCAAGTCGTTTCTGTTCTTTGATGAATATGCCCCCACCGCCGAAACCTTCTGCTTATTCGGCTTGTAATGATGCTTTGTCAAAAGCAGCCAAGACTGTGGCCACTGAGGTGATGGGGAATGCTGGTAAGGAGTTACACCATGACAGTGATGACGAAGTTCTCCAGTGCGGTGTTTCCTGTGACGGAACTTGGCAAAGGCGGGGATATTCGTCATTAAATGGCTGTGTTACTACCATTTCAATGGAAACAGGTAAATGCCTTGATGTTGAGATTTTGTGTAAGGTATGTCATACCTGCCAAAGTATTGAAAGAGAGACAGATGATGAAAAAAAGGCATTGCGCAAAGCTGACCATGTAGGAAAATGCAAGGCAAACTATTCAGGTTCGGCACCGTCAATGGAGACAGAGGGAGTGAAACGAATCTTTGAACGTAGTGAAGTGACCCACAAATTACAATATACAGAGTATTTTGGTGATGGTGATAGCAAAGCATTCAATGAAGTTCAAAACATTTATGGGAATAATGTCGAAGTTGTGAAGAAAGAATGTGTTGGTCACGTCCAGAAACGAGTTGGAACGGCACTGAGAAAATTGAAGAAGGAAAACAAAGGTCTTGGAGGAAAAGGGAAGCTGACAGACTCCTTTATTGACAAGCTTCAGAATTATTACGGCATTGCCATCAGAAGTAATTCTGGAGACTTGGAGGCTATGAGAGAAGGAGTACGTGCAAGTCTGTTTCACACTGCTTCTTCAGAAAGAAGAAATCTTCATTCTCTTTGCCCCGATGGTCATGACAGTTGGTGTCGTTTCAAGCAGGATAAAGCAAACAAGACTTCAAATTATAAGCCTGGACCTGGTCTTCCTGATGACATTATAAAATTGGTAAAGCCTATTTATGAAAGGCTGAGTAATGATGAGCTCTTGAAGAAGTGCTTAGATGGCAAAACACAGAACCAAAACGAATCGCTGAATGGCATGATCTGGAAACGGTTGCCGAAGAATGTTTTTGTTGGTGCTAATGTTTTGCAGTTTGGTGTATATGATGCAGTAGCCCACTTTAACATTGGCTCACAAGCTTCTGCCAAGATCTTGAAAGAACTGGATATGGTGCCAGGAACATACTTTGAGGTCGGGATGAAGAAAACTAACAAAGATCGAATTGCGAAAGCCAATCATAAGAACAAGGCTGAAATAAAGAAACGAAGAAAAGTTGTTCGTGGACTGAAAAAAAAGAAGGATGACAAAATAAAAGACCAAGAAGGAACCACCTATAAGGCAGGGTCATTTTAAAAAGTAACAATGTCATTTACTGCTTTATATTAGCTTCCATTGCAGAAATAACTTAAACCGTAAACTTTAAAGCTGTTTTTCTCAATTCGTAAAAATGGACCGATTGCTCAATTTGCATGCATGATATCTCAGAAACTATTAAAGGTATCCTGATCAAATTTTCAGAGTTGCTAGTAAATAGTATGCTCCAGGGAATGAACTAGAATAATTGAGTTCTGCTGGATTTTCAAGGAGTTATCACTGTTTCATTGATGAATGTTTCCACATTTTTGTGGTTTGGCAGGATAAATCGTGATAATAGTTGTTCTATATGCAGTAAGGCAATGATTCTAGTTCATTCCCTAGACACTATTGTAACTTACAAAATAAAAGTTATTTTAGACTTCTATCATTTATTCTCACCTAGTTATCATGTTTGAAAGTTGACCTTTTTTTTCCCTTTGGGCGTGGCATATATTGGTTACTATGGTAACAGTTCAGTAAAGAAGAGTGTTGTCTTGGTTGAGTGACCACCCTCAACAACACTGTGAAGTTAGATTTTTGTTTTGGATCATTTTTAGGAAAAAAAAATTTTTTGTATAAGACCACCTTAAGAAAGATTTTACAATTTTTTTGTTGAGACAAAAACAGCAGCCGAAGATAATCTAGACAAGTACCCAATTATTTTACCAAGCTCTGGATCCTTACACGATAGCGCTATTAATATAGCATTGAGTAAACAGGGGTTATAGTAACTGAAAACTAATAAGAAAACGCACCAGCAGTTGTCGACTCTGCTACTGCTGCACATACAAATTTCCTGAGTTGTTCAGTGTACAGCTTCGTATAATCAACAATGGGTATCGTGCTTGTCATATTTTGATTTGAAGAAATAATTTGCATAACAGATCTGGAAAATTTCTCTCGAACAGAGAAATAATCTACAAAGCTTTTGAACACCAGTTCAAGACTAGGTGAACACAGGAATGAGGTGTATCGTTCTTCCAATATAGAAGTACACCTGGGACTTGCATACTTACATACCATTCTTCGAGCATACGTTTCAATGAATTCCTTGTACGATAATTAATTTTTCGTCTGGTGGATCAATTACTGACAAATTCTACTTTCTTTCTCCTGGGCACATTATGTTGCCTTTCACCACCTCCTACTGTCTCTCCCATGCTGCCACCTTCCATGGTTTCATCAGACTCGGATTCACTTTCTGTTTGACTGCTTGATTCCAGGCCTGAAGGAGTGACAGTGCCGGTGGCTCTTCCAGTGATGGTGCGAGTTCTGACATGTCCGGCAATCCTCTCACTGGTTGCGGTAGCTCTTCCAATGATGGTGCGAGTTCTGACATGTCCGGCAATCCTCTCGCTGGTTGCGGTAGCTCTTCCGATGATGGTGTGAATTCTCCCGTGACCGGCAATCCTCCCATTTGTTGCTCTAAATTAACTCTCGACTCTGTGTCACTCGGTGACTCGACATCTGACAGTATCGGTGCTTCTTCCAATGTTCGTTGGAATACTGACGAGTCCAGGAATCCTTCCAGTACTTGCTTGTTTCCTTCTTTTTCTAAAATATCATCCATCTTAGCCAACAAGCCATCACAGCCATCCACAGCAAATTGTTGTTGACGAACACACTGTCAAATCAAGGAATAGGTTGGGGATTAGGCAGTCCATGAAAGATGGCCTACTATGTGGGGGATAAATCTGTGGGTTGCTGCAGACAGTCCTAATGGTAATATATTGTGACTTTGAGATTTATACAAGAAAGTCGTCCAGAGATTCATTGCAGCATGGATTTGGCTATGACGTGGTGATGTGATATAAGTTTCGTTACAGTCTTAGGTCTTTTGTGGTCCAATATATATTTTGTGCAAAAAAGTAAATATTTTCACCACATAATCCAATTATGTGCCTTGGCAAACATTATTGCCTTGGAAAACATTACTTTTTTATAACTACTAATGATGGCGCCAGCCCAACAACACTTGGTCATGCTATATGCAAATATTTTCATGTTCTAGATTGTGAAAACAATCAATTTCCAAAGAAATGAGTAATGATTATTTAAAATTTGAATAGCATGACCAAATTTTCAGGCTGGTTATGCCACTGATAACTAAGTCAATGGTGTACTGATTATCTAAGAACCGTAGAAATAAAGACATTTTGCAAATAGTGATTTGAGTGTTCTTTTGTGGGTATCACAGACTTATTTTGGTGCCATACTATCCTTGGAGTGTTAGATGGTATTGCAAATTTTTATGGATAATATGTTGCAGCAATGAAAAAGGACCTTTGATACACCCTTTTCATAAATGGCTGCCGATTAAAAATTCTTTTATGTGCATATAAATTGGCCCAACTGGCCTCGTTTCTGGGTAGAAATTCTATTCAAGAAGCTCTATAGAGCGTCTTGTCTCAATTAAATTGGATGTGTTTGGCTGATGTCGCCCTCTTCTCTAAGTTTGAAAAACACACATATACAATATACGATAAAACGTAAAGAATACGATATTTTTTATGTGTGAAAATATCATTTGTTGTAAAACGCATTGCCACAGACGTTTTATTGTTTTTCACTGAATTTTGTTTATATAATAAACAGAAAAATACATGGGTTACATGAGCTCAGAAAAATACATGTTTATTTCTCATGTTGAACATGATATCTCACTTGTTCGCTGCGCTCACTCGTGAGATATCATGTCAAGTAAATCTGGTATTTCAGCGCACCAATGTATTATTCTCTATTTATTTACTGTACCAGTGCCAGTGATGCATGTACAGCAGGAGTTCTGTATAAGTTCTGTATATACAGTGGATAAAGATACAGTATCTTACCTGGATGCTGAAATTTTGGGTCCTTAAAATCAAGAGTACTTAAGTCCCCCTTTGCTTCCTTAATAGCTGCCACAGTTAGAAATTTACCAGTGAGATTCTGCAAAAACGATGTTGTCTGCTCATAGACAACCGGGATAATAGGGTCTTCCCTTTGTAGAAACATGTTAAAATGAATAAATTCTTGAAGGGATGACTGGTAAAAGAGAAGATAAACTTCCGTCATAGGATTCTCGAATAAGGTTTGTAATCTCCCAAACCTTGCTTCGTGTTCATCTATAACAGACAATTAAGACGTAAATTGAGTTATATAAGTGATGAACAAGGCCGTAATCGTAATATAAAAATTAATGCCCACCATGCATATATAATGAATATTAAGATTTCAGTAGATCATATATTTACCGTTAGATAAAAAGTAACTCTTGAGGCCAGGAAATTGCTGCAGCACCTGAGTAACAGCTTGTTCTAGACTTAACCATCTGGTATTCACATGTTTAACTATTTTACGATAGTCTACATCATGGAAGGAGTAAAATTCTGCCAGTAAAGCTTTTCGTTTCGTACTCTTGTCAAACCAATAATAGATGTCAATAACCATATCTTCAACATAATAATTTTGATATCTGAAAGAAGAATAGGGATTGCTAAGGATATACATGCATATACCAGACATATTCAACAGAATTATCCGGAATCACCCCTGCACTAAAATACAAAATTTTCAAAACAAACATAAACATACGGCTTACTTCTTCAAAAGCTTGCACCGCTTTTAATGCCGTATTGTATGACAGGGACAACCCATAATATAGATTGCCGGGTTCTTTTCCAAAACACGAGTTTTTATTGAATTTCTGCAACCCATATTGACAGAGGTATTATCCACTCCTAAACCAACGCAGTTGTTCCATGAAACATCATGTGTAGTGAAGGCATCCTCCATTTTTGAAAATATTCCTTCTGCTGTGGACGAGGAAGACATGCACATATCAAGGAACTGGGTGTAGACATTTCCGCGGTTGACATAAAAAATTCGAACTGTCAAAGGATTAATTTTTTCAAGAGCATTATCGCTGGAGCCATCAATTGCAATAGAGAAAGGATTATTCTTTGCATGTTCAACAAGACTCTGCTGGAAGAAAGGAGCAACAGTGCCATTGATAATGCAAGCGGTTTTTGTTCTTCTAGAGGAATAGTTCTTGGCGATTTCGCTGTCAGAGAAAATATCTTGAAAAAGTGGTGTAAGTTCATCAGCGACTGCAAGTGGACGAGCATTGTGGCAACTTTAACTTCAGCACGTATGGTCTAGGTACATCAACAAAAAAGGGAAAACTTTATTTACAATGGATAATCATTAGATAGTATAAGGAAGTATAAATTTATCTTTAAATAAAAACAGATTTTCCTTTTCAGTTACAGGGCTTGATAATGAATGAAAAGAAAGGGTTGTCTGCGATCTTACGTCTTTGCATATCGTTGGTGCATTGATGTAGTAAGATGTTGTTGTACATCCGAAAGACCCATGTGACCGTATTTTACATTATGCTTGCAGATTGTGCAGTAAAAGCTGTGTTTATCTGTTCTTACTTCATTGATGAAAGGGTATTGTTTTTTCCAAGCAGTGCTAAATTTGGATCTGTACTTTGCGGCTCCACTGTCTTTCCTGGTCGATTTATTACTTTGTCTTAATGTTGAAGGACCTGGGCTTTCGGGAGAATTGAACTCATCTTCCGAACCAGATACCGAATCACTTGCATCAGCCATAAGAATCAGTTTCAGTGGAGATTTTTACTTTCTATATATACACTACTTTGCATCTGTAGTGTGACTAAATGAATGTATAAATTTGCTTGCTTTTATGCATGACTACACAGAATTCTATATTTGGAACATGAAGTAATTTCTCGATTTAGATTTTACATCGGTTATAATAACTGCTTTATAAATAATTTAGCGGGGGCTGAGTAATAGCCTCACTAAGTGCGTCAAACGTTAAGCTGTATAATTGATAGCTTGTTCCAATAGCGATTAACAAATGCGCTCAGGTTACATCCTGAAGTAGTGTGTTGATTGCAATGTTCGACAGTTATAACATTAAATACACAAGGAAACACAAGTTTTACAGTCTGATGTTTATTGATAGCTTATACCAATAGAAATTAGTTCAAACATTTTACAATCACCATTATTTCTCTACATTTTAGCTTCTCAGCTAACTTTCTGCTTATGCGTGAGATAATCAAACTGAAGTGTGTGAGCATGAGAAATGACGCTGAGGCGTGTGTCACATGCTTAATGTGTGAGACTTGGCATCTATGATACACCTGTACAAAAATTTATCTTCTGTTCAGCTGCAGTCAATTTGTTCTTATAATTACAAAATGCCTCAGTTTCAACAAATTTAGAAAAACTCGCTATATGCAGCTAAATTGAATTCAACTATACAATACAGTCACTCACTGACAAGGTCTCTTTAAAGATCTCATAAAATGGTGACTCCAAATTGACCTAACCAGCATAAAGATCTTGTTTGTATAGTTCATTCAAAAGCTTATATATAGCACATGAGATTTCATAATACAATATATTCAAACCATAGCAATATAGACTCTTCATTGCTTTATCATGAAATATCAGAAAGCAAGAAGACTGGAAGATATAAACTTTTACAAAAATTTATTCCTGTGGGCTGCAGTCCATTTGTTCTCATAATTAAAAAAATTCTCAGTTTTGACATAAATTTAGAAAAACTCACCATGCAGTTAAATTGAATTCAACTATACAATAGCAGTCACTCACTGACAAGGTTTCTTTAAAGATCTCATAAAATGGTCACTCCAAATTGACCTATAGCCAGCATAAAGATCTTGTTTGTATAGTTCATTCAAGAGCTTAAATATATAGCAAGTGAGATTTCATAATGCAATATATTCAAACTCTTTGTAATTTAAGATTGCTAAACTTGGATTTGCAACTTTTATGCCATTTTGCTCCATTTGTAACCATGGTTGCACAATGTTGTTGTAGTTGTTGCCAGAGCAACGACAGTTAACCCTTTGCTGCACAGATTTATTATTCAAACATTTCAATTTTTATAACAGGTCCGAAAGAATAATAACCGACTGCCTGAGAGTGAGGGCAGTGCAGGAAAATATCCAACCAAGGTCTTGCTGTATTGACCGAAGGAGGGCAAATTACAAAGTCTGAAACATTTGCAAAAAAGAACAATGGGTCATTCCAGAAAAGATCCATACCCCCCCCATGGAGGAAATCGAAAATAACCCCCTCCCCCCCTTCGGACATCCTTGAATGGTTCATCCTCCCCCCCTCTCCGGACATCCAAGCCCAAAATTACCCCCCTCCCCTTTGGACATCCACTATTTCTAAATTTTTCTAAAGGCTACCTCGCCGTTTGAAAACGTCACCGAAAATTAGACTACGTTCACACTACGCGCGAGCGAACTAATGCGGGCAGAATTTACGTGTGTTCACACTACCGCCATTACAGTTTGTTTACAAATTGAATTAGCACTCGTGTAAAACAAAATATTTCAAATAGACCCAAGAAATTTAACTGAAAAGCATTCGAGTTGACACGTTTGTGTTCACACGAAGCTATCAAGCGCTCCCCCGTTTTCACCTCGCTCCGTTTAGAAACCGTGCTCAAATTGTTACGGCAAAAGTGACGTGAAAGTTTTCAAACAATTTCGCTCCAGCGTAGAGTGAATTAGCGATGGCTTATTGTGACTTTTCTACGCTGTTTTCAAATAGCTCCGGCGTGGTGGAACACTTGGCGGCTTCTTGTGACTTGCGAACACAAACACGTGGCAGGTTTTGTCGGATAATTTGCAGAAATTCACTTCGAAATTTGTTCAAGTAAAATTCGGACTGAAATTCGATGTAACTTGCGAC